CCTGAATAAAGGTCTGCGCATCGCCCCTTTTCGATAAATTATAAGCAAATTGACGTATTTCCGATCTGTTAACTACTTGGCATATTGCAGTAGTCTCGCTGCCACGCTTAAAATATTAGAGATCTGATGGGTTTGTTCCACAAATAAACAATTCAAGAGCGGAAAGTGAATTGTCCTCTTACTGTTTGAAAGTTGACAACAAAGAAAACGTTTGTTAGTATAGCAAAAAACTAATTTCAAATCGGCCATTATACAAAATTTAATTCCACAATTGTCAATAAAATAGCTTTTAGTATGGATAAAAAAGCGTGGCAGCGAAGAGAGAATGTACGTGGGCGTGAAACGGCGATTCTCTGGCTATTGCGAAAATGCATAAAATATCACGAGGAGAGTGTAAAAAATAGTGGTCGGGTATGTAAATATGAGAAATCTACCACCGGGACATCGCCCTAAGGCCGCAACAAGAAAAGATGCCAAGATTTTCCGCCAGGCCACCAAAAACTCGTTTATAACGGGCGAAAAAAATAAAATGGCTTAATCTCGAAGATAATGTTTCAAATATTAAGAGAAGATTAAGTAGTGATATCCGAGGGAGAGTGGCCGGTTCATCAGTGAATCGGAAGAGAAGAAGCTTTTGCCAAAAATTTGTGGAAAAGCCCCTAGAGTTTTTGGAATCGTGTTATTTAGTGAGATGAGTGAAAGGAGAGTTGCGGGATGCTATACGACGGAAATTTTTGTACAAAAAAAATTCAGCAACGAGTTGCGCAGCTTTCCCGGCAGTTTTTATTTAAAAAATAACTTTTATATTATTAAAGAAAATAAATAAAATTGTTTCTGGTTCCGTTACGAGGTTTTGTTAAAAAAATTAAGTTTTTTTTATAAATTAAGCTTTTTCACATTTTATATTATTTTTGAGGATAGGGACGGGTTTATAAAATACTGTAGAAAAGTATAAATGTTGATGAAGATTTTATTTGTTAAGTCCTACACCTCTCGAGATATAACGTATGACACCCCTTTATCTCCTCACCCTCTCGACCTTTAACCGCCAAAATTTAATATCAATGCCTCTCGTGTACTATATAAGCTGCCACGAAAAATTTTTGTTTTTCAATCTTTACTCCTTCCTGACATGTTAAGCGTAATAAAGCGTAATGAAATAAGGTTTTTTTTTTTACTTTTTTGGATTCAAGCGGTCTCAAAACTTGGAGATTTGCAAAAATCTTGGAGAGTCAAATTTGACACAATTACCATACTTTCCCTTGTTATGTATACATAATAGCCGGGAAAGGAAAATCAAGCATTTGGTAAAAATAAAACTGTGGGAACAATAAGGCACCCACCTTACATAATAGTTTGGGAACGTTTTTCGAAGTTGTAATGAGCAATACGAACCACTGTGGATATCATTTTTATTTCATCTTCTCTTAATATTTGAAACATTATCTTCGAGATTAAGCCATTTTATTTTTTTCGCCCGTTATAAACGAGTTTTTGGTGGCCTGGCGGCAAATCTTGGCATCTTGTTGCGGCCTTAGGGCGATGTCCCGGTGGTAGATTTCTCGTATTTACATACCCGACCACTATTTTTTACACTCTCCTCGTGATATTTTATGCATTTTCACAATAGCCAGAGAATCGCCGTTTCACGCCCACGTACATTCTCTCTTCGCTGCCACGCTTTTTTATCGATACTAAAAAACTATTTTATCGACAAAATTGTGGAATTAAATTGTGTATAATGGCCGATTTGAAATTAGTTTTTTGCTATACTAACAAACGTTTTCTTTGTTGTCAACTTTCAAACAGTACGAGGACAATTCACTTTCCGCTCTTGAATTGTTTATTTGTGGAACAAACCCATCAGATATCTCATATTTTAAGCGTGGCAGCGAGACTACTGCAATATGCCAAGTAGTTAGCAGACGGAAGTACGTTTTTTTCTACTTAAATTGTAAAAAAACCAACTTTTTTCAATTGTCGGCTTTGAAATGATGTCGACTGTAGCGTATCAGTTTTTTCAATTTTTACGGAAGGCAAAACAAACTACAATAAATAAAATATGGAAATTGCTCTCCATTCTTAATTCTAGATCGGCAACACTTACTCTAAGCCGGATATCGTGTACTGTATTATAAATGAACACCGTTACATCTCGGCTCTCGACAATCTAATCTAAAAACCCTATACAAAAACAAAGAATTCTCTTTCGACCGTGCTACGTAACGATCGAAAGTAAAATTCTTCACTTCCAACAGATATTTATTAGTATACCTTTGACTAAATACTCGTTCGATAAATTGCTTGTTGTTAATTAAGAGAGGTTTGTTCGTCAGCGGTACATTCGATCATATTTTTATCTGTTTCAGTCGAATCAAGAATAGAAACGTCACGATAGTAACTTAACACCTTCTGGAAGCAAATACTCTTATAAACAGTATCAGTGTTATTCGGAACATCTTACATTTGTTCGAGAGCCAGAAATAAACTTTTCGTTTTACACGAATATTCGTATTGTTCATCCGCTTCAGATTTGTTATTGTTATCATCATCTATACGACCCCAATTTGGATTAGACATTTTTATCCGGCCCGACTCATCAAAGAAGGTAAGATTGGTCATCAGAAATATTTTTAACAGAAATACTTTCCCGACCTTCAAATTTATTCATTGTAATAAGTCACGTGACCCGTATTCCCGGATAAAGGATTTAGTCGCATCGAACTGTATTCGTCTTTCCAGTTACACGCGCGAAGCGTAGATTTAAAAATGCCCGGTTGTCTAGCGAAAACAATTTAGTGACTGTCTAAACCAGTGTTTCTCAACGGGGGCGATTTTCCGTGTTGAGGGGGCGATTTGTAACAATTTATATTTTGGGGGCGATACCACGTAACGGTTTTATTGAAGGGGGCGACGATTCGTTAGAGGTTGAGAAACACTGATCTAAACCGAGAATAAATCTGCGCCGGAAGATAACCGAGACGAGAGTCGACGAACGGTTCGCAACCTCCCGAGACTCCCGGAGAAGAAGATTAATTACCGGATTTAAAATTCTCTTATAAATGCAATTACCGGATGATAATTTTCGTAAACAATTCTTAAATATTTCTCTTATCTCCGGTTACAAACGCTCCCGAGATAATTCGTTAAACGGAGGTAATTTTGGGATTTCGAACGCCGCCGTACAGTACGTATTTGTAACCGTTACGGCGAATTTCCTCAACGTTTTAATACCTCCGTTTAACGTTAACGCTATTCTAGAAAATATTCTACCCTTCGTTTACGTAATATTTCGTGGCCGCGTTACCGGACGACCTTTGACGCTAGATTTTAAAACTTTCATAAATCTTAATTCTTTCGTCTTCGTGTTAAAATATGCAAAGTTTATTTAGCCTGGGAGTCGTTGCACTCTGTAAAATTTTAATAATGCCTAACTCGATGGCAAATTCTTCCGAGATTCCATATTCTGTGTTAATCCAGAACGTTGGTCGAACTGGCTTTTATCAGTCTAATTTAAGTTATCGATATTCGAATTTTTACATACTAATCCTTTTTTTAATTACGGCAAAACCCAGAATAAAAAAGTCGATAGAAGTTAAACGTCCTACGCGAAATATAGGCGATATAATGTAACAAGAGATTTACGGAAGATGGGCGGAGTTAAAATTATCTAAACGACGATTAGCGGAAACGATTAAAGTGGGAGGAGATACTTCTATTTTCCGCAGAAAAGGAGGCGGGCAATTTTTTTACGAATGGAAAGAAATTCATCCAACGAAATTTCGTATCGAAGTGACGTGGGGTTTTTGTTTTAAATCGCTTCTCTTCGTTATTAATAGAAATGTAGCCGTCGTTACGAGAAATTACGTCACCGAAATAGTTACCGAAGGTCAGTCTTTCGCCGAATTTCTTTTTATTCTGAATAAATTTCCGAAATAATAACTCTGTTCTAACACGTAGCAGTTTAGATAGAAACGAAAGGGAGGAATCGCTTAACGGAGCGGAGACTTCCTTATCAATTTTAAAACCGCCCAGAATTTTTATCTTATATTAAAGGGGAAAGGGAGATTAATTGGCATTTAAGAATAACTTTTTCTGAAAAATAGACGAACTGACGGAATGCAAAGAGCTCGGAAGAAGGTAAGGATAAAATTTCGAGAACAGTAATACATTAGTTACGATATTTCGCGTAAGGGCGAGGAGCAATTATTAAATAGGTACGAATTATTCATTATTCGGATCGATTCCGGAGTTCGGTCACGCGTTACTGGATATATTCCGTAGCACTTAATTTAGTAAACCATTGGAATTATGGAATTTCCCATGGAATATTTTAAGGAATTCCACGAAATTTTTTTTACATTACAACATCTGGTATCGATAAAGGCTCTACTCGTAAAATTCTGCATTTCTTCCTTTAAAAAAGTCGATTTTCGATCGTCTTGTCGACGATCGAATGAAAATCGAAAAGATCGATTTTCATTCGATCGTCGACTATAGAATTTCGCCAATCTTAGTTCCATTTTATCCGATCGAAATTTATTTTGTAAATTACGATATAAAAGAGAGAAATATAACAACTTACAGAATGCCAATTTACTTAGAGAGATGCTAGTTTCCGTATTTCTAGCGAGATTCTGGATGCTGTAAATCGTTCTCTACGTGATCGACTTACCGAGTTTGAAAACATTTCGTCTCGATATTTTAATAGTGTATAATCTAGTTATTAACGACACCGTCTCTAAAGATCTCTTGTTGTAATCAACGGGTAATCTTTACAACTAGAAACTCTCCGAAACTCTTGAAAGGGTTCGTTATTATAGTTAGAATATAGTTACATAAGGCTATAACGATATAACGAAAAACAAATTTAAAGAAAATTAGTAAAAGAATTTATAAACTTTAATTCTTCTTCAAAAGAAAAAAAATCGAAAGTCAAATTAACTGATGCTGGCGAATTTATCCTTCGTTTATCAGTTAGAATATATAAATAAGAAATTTCAAAGTTAATTTTCGCTAACAGAAAGAGATTTATTACGCAAGAATAGATTGAAGTTATCTAATAAAACTTAACGAACTCGGTTCGTGTCTTTCTACAATCAATATAAAGATAAATAATTACAAATTTACAACAAACTTCGTATACAAATTTCTATTTATCTTTTTCATTTCGTACAAACGACACATTTTAGATTCATCTAAAGATCGTGTCGTCTACCGTCAAACACCGGGAAGACCGGTTGTACGAAGGAAATGTCGCTAACTTATGCACCTAATTAACTAAATTTACTTTTTTAGTTAATTTAATGAAGTAGCCTTTCGCGCCTTCGTGAGTTGTTTTATTATTTCCTTTTTCTTACTTTATTTTTAATAGTTTATTTTCCATTCTTTCTACCCGTTAGTTTGTCTACGAAGAAGCGCGATTAAAAAGTAACAAATGGTTCGGCTTCCCCTTAAAGTGCGCGGCATTGGCAGAGAAAAGAACATTCGGAAGACGGTATTCTCCAGTCTAGATCGTTTCAAACATAGACGTACCGGAGAAAAGGTAAAAGAAACATACGGGTATTGGAGAAATGCATAAAAACGATTCCTAAAAGGAAAAATGCTATTAACAAAATAGTGAAATTATGTGGAGAAAAGTTGGCAGCATCGGCATCAAATTCAATCGAAAAACGAGGTTGGAATTTCCTTTAATAAAAAATCTGCTAAGTTAATGACCTAAGTGTTCGTTTGTAACGCGTGTTAAATGTATTATGATTGATGTATTTTTCCATAGTTTATATGGATTTTAGTGTTTCGGCATTAGTGCAATTGGGGGGGAAATGTATTTATTCTCCTCCGCTTCTTCAATTAACGAGTTTTGGTGGATATTCTGTCGAAAATATCTTTTCGACGTCTGTCTGTCAGTCAGATTAAAAGAATCTTAACATTGGCCGTTTAAACAGAAAGCCGCCTCACCGGGAAAGACTCGACAATACCCCAGTAAGAGTCGCGGCCACCGAGGAATCGAAGTCGGTTTCCCGCATTTCGAGTGTGTAAGAAGGAAAAATTAAGTATTACAGGAAATCCTCGTTAGTTCGAAATTCAGGGGACGAAATATTCGCCACTTCGAATTATCCGAGATTTGCATTTTTCTGTACAATATGCCAAATAACCCAGTAACCTACGAAATTTATTAAGCAAACGGATACGTATACAGAACGCTATTTTCGTTAATTAATAATATAAATAAATTGCGGGTAAACAAAGTGTTCGGCGAGAACTCGCGGGTCGCCAGACAGGTTTTTATAAAAAGTAAAGCAGAATTGCTCGAAATGTGGCCCAAAAAGTACCAAGTCCGCCAAATGTTGTAGCCTAAAGTCCTACAAATATCTCAATCTGCTACTGGTAGTCCAATCTCGCCATCCCGAAACCCAGCCGTATTTTACGAGATAAGAAAGAAAAAAAAGGTATCCGACACCCGACAATGCGTTACCGTTGAAGCAAAACCATAGTGACCAGATTAGAGTTGTTCTCGGTTTATTATTCTCGTATAGCGCGTAGGCACTTCGATCTAAACCAGTGTTTCTCAACCTCTAACGAATCGTCCCCCTTCAACGTAGTATCGCTCCCTTCGCTTCAAAATTCCGATGCCCAGGGCCGAATCTAACGACAAATTCGTACCGCATCGAATAGACTGCGTATAATGTTACTAGTGACTAGTATAATGTTATTTGTTTAATTATTGTACGATATAATGAATAAAATACCTAATTATTCTTAATATAATGTTTTACTATATCGCCAGAAAATTGTTTTTCGCCCCCCCCAAAATATAAATTGTTACTAATCGCCCCCTCAACACGTAAAAACGCCCACATGGGGGCGTTTTTACGTTATCGCCCCCGCTGAGAAACACTGATCTAAACGAACCGGTTAACGTACGCGTGTGACAGTTCGGGCAGAACTTTCACTCGAAATTACGAATTGGCCGTATTTACTGTATAACTAACCGAATTCCTTAACGTGCAAATAAACATATCCTCGGCCGGGACATAAATACGGTTACGGACTAACGGAATTTCCATCTATCCGAGTTCGAATTAACGAGGATTTCCTGTATCGCTCGATCAATCCTAAAGGAAGCTTCCTCGCATCTTTTCGCATTTTCAAGGATGAAAAAAAAATTGAAGCTGGGTTATCCAACTAGAAGCTTCTCGAATGCTACAACCAAAGCCAAGGGTAGTGTCTCCACCGGCATATCCGATCTAGCGTCGTGGCATTCGGACGATTCCGGCGATAAAGTCTTCGGTTATCGCTCCGATCCTTCACCGTCGAGACCAAACGCAAAAAGAAAGGGTGGGCGAAGGCTTGCCGAAAGGAAGAAAAAAACTAAGGATAGGAAGAGAAAGGAAAGAACAGTAGCGACGACTCTTGCGAACAATGTCGTACAAAATGCAATTCTTACTATTACGATGAAAAGGGCTCCTAAATGCGATGGGATGCAGCCCGTTGACGGTGTGACTCAGTGTGAACGCGCAACTTTCGAAAGGTTTTGCCGACCATCGTTTGTCCCAGTGCCGAATAACACACGGTAACCAGTATTTTTTAGCACACAAATTCGGTGGAAAACGAGACGAGCTGTCAGGAAGCTCGTCTGGTTATCGGACGAAACGAAGAAGTAAAAATTTTTGGTTCCGGTTAGTACAAATAAACCATTTTTAGTTTGAGAAAATGATTAAAAATGATTTTCAAAATATTGCGTAACCGTAGCCACTTCACCCCGATTTACACCGCGTAAAATGCGGACCACATTTTATATAATTAGAATTTTAAATTTATACGGGAATCGTACAGAAAACGGTGGCAAAGCCAGCTTCGTCGTAATTTTAATTTGAGAAGTTACTTTTTATTTGTAAGAGAAAAGCGAGAAGGGACGGATCGTTTTTTATCCCTTCCTCGTCCGTCGAGTGTCTTAATATACAAGTAAGACAAAGGAAACGACGTCACAAAATCGGTGGTTAACGCTTCGTTCTCTCCCCCGTCTCGCACCGGGACAGCGAATGAAGCGGGACGAAACTAATTCGAACGACACGTGTTACTTCCATTCCATTAACGCGTCACGTGCGTCACGTTTGCTACTTTCTCGTAACGGCGTATCTTTTCCTATTCGACGTATCTTACCACTTGTACGCCCACCGACGAATTTGCCGACACGTTTCTAAAATAATATATCTGTAATTTAGATTTACTTATTTTTAAGTAAAATTTTTTCGCTTTTAATTAAGTTCCTACTTAATTATATTCAATTGTATCGTTTTGTTTCCTAAAAGTAAATTTATTTAAAAGTATGATTATTTACGACAGCTTCGTAAACACTTAAGAAATTAAGGAAACATAACAAGTGTTTCCGTTCTTTAAATACGTTTTCTTTATCCATAGAGAAGGAAAAGAAGGGAAGCTGGAGTCCGAATCGAGTAGTTTAACCAAGACGTTTGTGTGTCTCCGAAGGATAAACACGAGAGGACGATAAATTCGATTGGTCCGTTGAAAAACCTCGGGATAACGAGCAAAGAACCCGGAACGAGGTTCGCTATTCTTTCCGGGTCGTTTCTGTTTCGTGTCCGTGGCTCTGGCAGCCTCCAGAATTTACCACCGCGCGTTTTAATAAATAGACGAGCGCCGAGAACTTACTTTGCTATAGAACGAACTATTTTTATTTTCTTCTGTTGCGGCATCTTTTAAAAATTAATTTAAATAATAGACTTATAACATTAATTTACACCGGCGGTAACAGCTGCTAAATATCGTTTTCCTCGTGTGCCACTCGACTATGAAAATCCAAGGGATTGATGCCGTAGAAGATAAAAGAAACGGTCGAGGTAACTAAGAGAGGAGTTTATTCTGTTCCAGATCTACGGTTATGTCGCGTTCCCCCCCCCCCAAGAAAAACGAACAGACCAACTCTCTTCCTGCGAATTTTGTCTTATAGTTAAGTAATTAAGAATTCTGCAGTTGATGTGACGAAATATTCGGAAAAGAATCTACTCGACGGGTGAAGAGGACGGAAACGTTTTCCCAATAAAGGAAGGAAGAGGAGAAAAATTCGAGTGCACTCGAAAGTTTGTCGAGAACTTACCCTTTATACATAAACGATAAATTAGTCATTCCGGAAGAGAAAATAGACAATTTGTTTCCTAGATCGACCGATTAATTAAAGAGTAAGCACTCGTGTTGAAAATAGATGAAATGGCAAACGAGAGATGCTCTAACGAGTCTAACCTGCACTGAATCGTATATAACGTCCATCAGATTCATTTCAAATTTCAGTAATTTACAGATCCGAATCTAAAGGTGTCTTGTATAAAATTAAAGAATGAATTAAACAAAGTGTTTTGTGTAAATTCCTCTATTCCGGCAAATATATCAACGGTCGAATGTTTGTTTGTTTGTCTGGTTAAGTTACGGCAACGCAACAGTTGGGCGATTCGCTTAGGGGATGCCTTCCGGTGGGTCTTTTTAAGGGCAAGATGCCCTATTCGGGCGTTGCAGACGTGGAGAAAACCCGGTAAACTCCACGTGGTCAGTCCTCCTGGCGAGGGACGAACTCACGACCGAACTCCTGGTGTTCGGGGAACGAAGACCGCTCGGCCACTGGTGGGCCAACAGTCCAATGAGAAATGCGATTGAATGTTTACTTTTATGAGGGTTTCGGAATGTGAAAGAACAGAAGAGTCGTCTGTACCATATTTGCGCGACCTTGGGATTTGAAATTTCATTTATGATTAAAATTTCCATAAGAATTATAGGATCCTGCAAGGATTACGGCCTACCAGGACCTAAAAATACTCGAAATCTACACGTGAAAAACAAAGAATAAATTTCATAAAATCGAAACAACTACTCCAAAGTGATTTTCTGGAGATTTTGACGAAAATTTTCAAATAGCAAAGAGATTAACTACGAAAATAAAGAAAAACTTGGAAATAAATTTCCAGACACGAGCCCACAGCGAGGTTTCCCTTACGAAAATAGCCGTTTGTTTTCGTTACTTCTCAATCTAAACGAAGCTTACTCTACGATCGATGTTTAATACAAACAAAATTGAAGACGAATTTCTAATCGGAGAGTCAGAAATTCCCTGGTTAAACAATTCAAATCGTTGTTTATACGGCATAATCACCGTCTTATAACATTAAACAATAAGCAATCTCTTAAGTAGACAGTCATTTACAATTTAAGAAACAATTCCTTCTTTACAATCTCTTCAACACCAGCCAAAATCTACATCCCTACAAACTAAGCTAGGAAATTATTTTATTATTGCCATTTTTTGGCACGTCTTTCGCGATAAAGTTAATATTCTTCGGTGTAATGCAGCGTAACAAGCGAGGTGTATTAATCTCGCTACGAAGATAATGCCATTAGATTAAATACATTTAATACACAAGCAACGACATTGTCGTTACAACGTTAAGAATTACGCGGGACAAAGAATAGTTTATCAAAGGCGCACGACGCATGGGGGAATATGGCGTAACATTAGAATTTATACGTGGTTAGAGAGAACGTTTGCGACGGATTTTATAATTACCTGATGAGATTTATGTAGCGATTCGCTTAGTAACGAGCAAATGCATCCGTAGAGAATAAAGTCGTCGAAATCCCGTCGATTGTGGCTTATTCGGCATACGTTTCTCCGTATATAAATCTTAATTTCGCGTCACATCGAGAGATTAATTATAAACAGTGGAGCGGAATTCCGTTTCGTGATATCAATTCGTATACGAGAGCGCGAGAGGGAGCCATTTCGAGATGTTCTTTGGGGTGAAATATAGAATTTACATATTCTCCTTTCCTACAATAAGGATTAAAGAAATGAATTTACCGCTCAATTAATCCGCAAAATTAAAAAATGTGTCTGTAAGATCTAAGTAATTTATAGAATTTTCCTAAAATTCAGGATACATTTAAGTTATCAACAAAGATAACGAAACCAAAGATTAAAATTGTCATCTTCCTCGGTATCAAACAGCATCGCTTCCGTCCGTATTAGCCGGGTTTCCGCAGAAACTGGCTGGTACGGACATCTTTTGTGACTTCAACGTGGAAATGTACGAACTTCTTTTTACTCAAAACACCGATCTCTTCTAATGGATAAAGACCAAACGAAGTGTATCGAGATCCGAGATTTTATCGTTTGTTTCTTCGCAAATGCCGAACAATTAAATATATTACGAGGTATGTTCAGAAAGTAAGCGTATCGCGACCATAACGGGCTGCGATTTTTTGTGTTTTGAGGGTTGGCAACGTAAGTGGTAGAGAGAGATCTCCCGACTCGCGAGCATCGCGGGAACACGGCAGTACGTAAACTCACGTTGTAGTGTCAAGTCGCGTGTAAGAAATCCCGCCAAGTGCGAGCCACTTTGACCGATGAGTCGGTGCAAAAAACCGAGGAAACTGTTGGTGAAAACCGCCGATTGACAGTGGATGAAATTTCTGTCACGTTTCCACAACTCACCGGAACTCTCTTATACGAGACACTCGCAGAAACGCAGGCGGGAGAGTTCTTCGAGAAGGGCATAAAGAAGCTCGCGCCACGGCTCACCACACGCATTAAACGGAATGGCGATTACGTGGAAAAATAGTCAACGAGTGTATCAACGATATCCTGTAATTTTTTTCAAATACACCTTTTGTAAAAAAATATAAAAATCTAGTACGCTTACTTTCTGAACACGCCTCGTATTAACGAATTAATTGAACAATTTCAATGTTCGATTCAGTGCTTTAGAAAACATTATACCTTAAGGAAGTAGCAATCCTAAATCGACGATGCAACACTAAAATCGAATGGAAGATTTCTACAGTTTTTCAAGCAATGGGAAGAGTCGAAACGAACGCGCGTGCAATTCGAGCGAAGGACCGAACAAATTATCATAGGGCACAATTTATTCGCAAGATATTCCTCGACGGCCAAACAAACGCGTACGTTCGATAAAGACCGCTAAAATTAAATCGAAAAGAAACAAACTCGGAAGTGGAGACAAAAATTTCCTTAAAAATCGATATTGTAAGAATTTTTACGCTTTTAAGCGATCGACAACTGCAATAAATCAATATAAATGAGACTACTCTTCGTCCCTTACTAACGGGCAACAGTTCTCCGCCATTCCTTAATTATTCGACTGTTAAATGTCTAAAATATTGGCACTCTTTCATTGGCGAGTAACAAGAATAGTTTCGATATAACGAATCGTCGATTACGGAGTTTTTAATGGAGGAGAACCATGGAGGAATGGAGTTTTTAATGGAGGAAAACGCAAAATTTTGCATTCGTCTTAAGCTAATCGGCTAAAATTCCTTATCGTTGTCGTAGGGCGATTTTTTCTGGGAAAATAACGAACCCGGCCAGACACACAACGGGTACGATTTTTCTTTCTTTCCGTTCACGGAACAAGAAAGAGTAACGAATTACTAATTGATCAGAATAGCGTTAAACGCGAATATTTATTGGCTTCGACCTCATTCCGGGTCATTATTCGGTTTTAACGAATGTTGCCGAAACGAATTCGCTTAATTAAGGAATTTCATTTAGGGAAGAGAGAACGAAATTCCCCGAGATCAATTAATTTCGGATCTGCCATTAGAGGGAAGCGCATTAAATCCTCGTTTGTTACCTCCGAAAATTATCCTTTCCCAAGGTACAAATTGGCAAAATCGGCACTAAAATGCCGCAAAACAATTCGCCGAGTTGGCAACGACGGAGAATAAATTATCCAAATGGCCCTTCCGTCGTCCACTCCTGTACAGAAGAAGAATCCAATTGCAAAATCGGAAATTCCACAATTATCGATTATCGCCGAGACAGATGGAATCGTTTATTAGAGTAATAAACGCGTGACACTCGAAGAATCGATTATTTATATCTTTACATTATTGTTCCGGAAAGGAAACACCGATAAAATTTGGTTAACCTTCGACTCGTTTCACGTCGTCACTAAACGGCTGCACGACTTAATAACTTATAACGACTAACGTAACCTAATCGATATACGAAAGGAAGATGGGGAGTGACGAAAGGAGTTCTTACTGACCGTTTAAAGTCTCTTACCTTTTGCGGGTTACTTTCTACAATAGAAGAGGAAGATCCTCGGAAACTACAGATTTGTTTATCTCGACAAGAGGTCAAGAGGGGTCACTTAAAATTCCGAGAAAGGCGTGGGTCGTGTTCTTTCACTCGACGGCGGAGAGAGGAAAAAATTCTTCTAACTTCGGTCGGACGCCGTCGAATTCTCTCCCTTCCGAATTAACGCATGCGCTTTTTTTTTGTGAATGAACATCGCTCCGAGCATCCTCCTCCGGCTCTCTCCCCGCTATTTTCGATAAAGGAAGAGGAGGAGATGCGAATGTCGGAGTGAATTTATTACCAAAATAATTGGCCAATTCTTATTTTCCAAGAAAATCTCCTTTCTAACCTGTGTTTTTTTTTCTGTAAGGAGAATAAATTGAATACAATCTCGAAACAACCGTCCTGTAGAAGAAAAATTTTCTCCAACTTTCTTAATTCCGTTATCTTTACTTTCCACTTACTTTTATAAACTAATTTTGGATAAATGGCATAAAATGCGACTAAATGAAACGTTTAAATATTTGATTTACGACGCGCAAAATCTGTACGGGCTTCGAAAATAAGAGAATTATTCGTTGTAGTAAATGGAAACGAATATTTTAAATTCGAAGGGAAAGGGAAGTGATGACGTATCCTTATCTGGACGACATCCGTTTCCGGTTTTCATAATCCTCAGCACGACACGGGACTTTCGTCTTCGTTAACTTTTTACTTCTCCAGATTACAGTTTGAGATGGACGGATGCCAATCATCTCTCCACTTTCCAATAGAAAAACTCGGCTCCACGCGCAAAGATCCAGTTTGTTTAATTAATTAACATTATATCTTAACAATAACCAATAGATTTTATCTACTCGAGAGTGCGATAATAATGTGTATTGTTCAAAATTATCATTTTACAATAGATTTACTGACTTATCTTGATATACCATTGTAAAAAATCTGCATTCGGAGAAACGGGGAGAATGAAAATGAAGAAAAATCTCAATACAACGGAGATTACTCTTTTAATACTTTCTGAAAGAATTTCGTAAAAGTACAAAATTTCACTATCGTATTGACATAAGGACCGGGTATCCTTTAGAAAAAGGCTTTTGAAATCCTCTCTCTACATTAAGAGAGCTTTCCAGGATTCTACGTATTATCCCATCTCCGATCTTAAATGAAAATCTCTTAAGAATTTCACAAATCTATGTAGGCTATTTAGAATTCGACACGA